CCCGGTGGTAAGTACTTCTGCCCTTCAGCACTGGTCTCATGGTTCAAATCCCAATTGGAGCACTGGCTACATGGAGTTTGCATGTGCTCTCCAAAGACATGCTGGTAGATTAATTGGCCTAAATATGCGTGCATGATGTGGACCCTAGAGTGTAAGCTCCTCGAGGGCAGGGACTGATGTGAATAAGGGATATGTAAATTGTTGGCGCTATAAAAAATAGCTGAAATAAATATGAGTAAAAAACTTTAATTTGAGAGTTTGGTTCTACCTGAGGTGTGCAGGAATTGACAAGAACAATGAAATGTTGCAAGAATCAACATGTATTTTCTGTACTTGCCTGAAAAATGAAAAGTAATGAAGCCGCCACATGTAAGGACTGGTGAGGTATAGTATATGACATTTGTGTTCACCAGTGTAGATATCCTTTAAATGTATGTCCACAATAAAAACTATTTCCTGTGCCATCTGTGCTCGTGTCCATGTGTAGGGCTTGTGTCCGTGCTGTGTGTTCAGCTGTCACGTTGGTGTCACTCCTCTCCTCCTCCCGGCCCCATCCATCCCAGCATCGTCCCCTCCTCATTCTATATAAAGAGAAGCAAAGCCCCAGCTGAGACTTCACTGCACAGTCCATCGTCCAGCCAGGAGCCAGGAGGAGCCAGGTACTTGCTTATACACCGCACTCCATATCTATATCCCATACCAACCTTTCTCAAACTTTTTACCCTGGAGGATCCCCTAAAATAATTTTTAGGTCACAGGGCACCTTTACTAAAACCAGTTTATCATGGGCCCATGGGAAAAGGCCATTTACGTTGGTGGTCAATGGGAAGAAGGCCCTTTACATTTGAAGTTAGGGGAAAGATTGGTTTTTAGATTGGTGGTCAGTAGGAGGAAATATCCATACATTGGTGATCATTGGGAAGAATGTCCCATAAATTGATGGTCAATGGGAAGAATGCCCCTTACATTGGTGGTCAGTGGGAAGAATGCCCCTTACATTGGTGGTCAGTGGGAAGAATGTCCCATAAATTGAAGGTCAATGGGAAGAATGCCCCTTACATTGGTGGTCAGTGGGAAGAATGCCCCTTACATTGGTGGTCAGTGGAAAGAATGTCCCTTACATCCCATACATTGGTGGTCAGTGGGAAGAATGTCCCTTACATCCCTTACATTGTTGGTCAGTGGGAAGAATGTCCCTTACATCCCTTACATTGGTGGTCAGTGAGAAGAATGCTCCTTACATTGGTGATCAGTGGGAAGAATGTCCCTTACCTTGGTGGTCAGTGTGAAGAATGTCCCTTACATTGGCAGTCAGTGGAAAGTATAATCCTATTACTTTGATAGTCAGTGGAAAGAATGTCCCTTACATTGAGGGTCAGTGGGAAGAATGGTCCTTACATTGGTCAGCGGGAAGATTGCTCTTTACATTGGTGCTCACAATGCCCTTGTTAAGGGCAGCCAAAAAGGTCATCGTTGTCATGCTTCTGGTTTTGCCAAGTGGTGTTGGCCCTGGAACTATGCAGACACCATCAAATGAAAGGTCAATCAGCCGCAGCTAAAGGAGCCCTGGTTGAGAATGACTGCCCCCTACTGTACATAGGTCTGTACACTTCAGAAACTTGAGTTGATATTTGTTAGCATGGAGTTCATGGACATCATGAACTGGGTCAATATCTGTTAGCATTCAGTGTATGGAGATCATAGATCATGTTGATATCTGTTAGCTTGCAGTGTATAGAGATCGTGGATTGGGTAATATCTGTTGGCTTGCAGTGGAATGAGATCATGGACTGGGCAATATCTGTTGGCATGCAGTGGATGGAGATTATGGATTGGGTTGATATCTGTTAGCTTGCAGTGTATGGAGATCTTTTTTTGGGTCATTGTCAGTTGGCTTGCAGTGTATGGAGATCTTTTATTGGGTCATTGTCAGTTGGCTTGCAGTGTATGGAGATCATGGATTGAGTTGATATCTGTTGGCTTGCAGTGTATGGAGATCATGAACTGGGTCAATATCTGTAAGCATTCAGTGTACGGAGAGCATGGATCAGGTTGATATCTGTTAGCTTGCAGAGTATGGAGATCATGGATTGGGTTGATATCTGTTGGCTTGCAGAGTATGGAGATCATGGATTTGGTTGATATCTGTTGGCTTGCAGAGTATGGAGATCATGGATTGGGTTGCTATCTGTTGGCTTGCAGAGTATGGAGATCAGGAATTGGGTCATTATCAGTTAGCTTGCAGAGTATGGAGATAATGGATTGGGTTGATATCTGTTGGCTTGCAGTGTATAGAGTTCATGGATTGGGTTAATATCTGTTGGCATGCAGTGGATGTAGATCATGGATTGGGTTGATATGATAGCTTGCAGTGTATGGAGATCATGGATTGGGCCGATATTTGTTGGCATGCAGTGGATGGAGATCATGGATTGGGGTTGATATCTGTTAGCTTGCAGTGTATGGAGATCTTTCATTGGGTCATTATCAGTTGGCTTGCAGTGTATGGAGATCATGGATTGACTTGATATCTGTTGGCTTGCAGTGTATGGAGATCATGGATTGGGTTCATATCTGTTGGCTTGCAGTGTATGGAGATCATGGATTGGGTTCATATCTGTTGGCTTGCAGTGTATGGAGATCTTTCATTTTGTCATTATCAGTTGGCTTGCAAAGTATGGAGATCATGGATTGGGTTGATATCTGTTGGCTTGCAGAGTATGGAGATCATGGATTGGGTTGATATCTGTTGGCTTGCAGTGTATGAAGATCATAGATTGGGTTGATATCTGTTGGCTTGCAGTGTATGGAGATCTTTCATTGGGTCATTATCAGTTGGTTTGCAGTGTATGGAGATCATAGATTGGGTTGATATCTGTTGGCTTGCAGTGTATGGAGATCTTTCATTGGGTCATTATCAGTTGGCTTGTAGTGTATGGAGATCATGGATTGGGTTCATATTTGTTGGCTTGCAGAGTATAGAGATCATGGACTGGGTTGATATCTGTTGGCTTGCAGTGTATGGAGATCATGGATTGGGTTGATATCTGGTGGCTTGCAGTGTATGGAGATCATGGATTGGGTTGATATATGTTGGCTTGCAGTATATGGAGATCGTTGATTGGGTCATTATCAGTTGGCTTGCAGTGTATGGAGATCATGGATTGGGTTGATATCTGTTGGCTTGCAGTGTATGGAGATAATGGATTGGGTTGATATCTGTTGGCTTGGAGTGTATGGAGATAATGAATTGGGTTGATATCTGTTGGCTTGGAGTGTATGGAGATCATGGATTGGGTTGATATCTGTTGGCTTGCAGAGTATGGAGATCATGGATTGGGTTGATGACTGTTGGCTTGCAGAGTATGGAGATCATGGATTGGGTTGATATCTGTTGGCTTGCAGAGTATGGAGATCATGGATTGGGTTGATATCTGTTGGCTTGCAGAGTATGGAGATCATGGATTGGGTTGATATCTGTTGGCTTGCAGTGTATGGAGATCGTGGACTGGGTCATTATCAGTTGGCTTGCAGTGTATGGAGATCATGGATTGGGTTGATGACTGTTGGCTTGCAGAGTATGGAGATCATGGATTGGGTTGATGACTGTTGGCTTGCAGAGTATGGAGATCATGGATTGGGTTGATATCTGTTGGCTTGCAGAGTATGGAGATCATGGATTGGGTTGATGACTGTTGGCTTGCAGAGTATGGAGATCATGGATTGGGTTGATATCTGTTGGCTTGCAGAGTATGGAGATCATGGATTGGGTTGATATCTGTTGGCTTGCAGTGTATGGAGATCGTGGACTGGGTCATTATCAGTTGGCTTGCAGTGTATGGAGATCATGGATTGGGTTGATGACTGTTGGCTTGCAGAGTATGGAGATCATGGATTGGGTTGATGACTGTTGGCTTGCAGAGTATGGAGATCATGGATTGGGTTGATATCTGTTGGCTTGCAGAGTATGGAGATCATGGATTGGGTTGATGACTGTTGGCTTGCAGAGTATGGAGATCATGGATTGGGTTGATATCTGTTGGCTTGCAGAGTATGGAGATCATGGATTGGGTTGATATCTGTTGGCTTGCAGTGTATGGAGATCGTGGACTGGGTCATTATCAGTTGGCTTGCAGTGTATGGAGATCAGGAATTGGGTTGATATCTGTTGGCTTGCAGTGTATGGAGATCGTGGATTGGGTGGATATCTGTTGGCTTGCAGTATGTGGAGATCATATATTGTATACCTTTAGCTGTAGCTTCCTTCTCAGGGTCTGAGGGAGACATGGACGATGTCACGGCTCTGCTGACCTTTCCCAGATGCTATTACAGTCCTGACCTTTCCCGTCCTCTCCGACCTTTACAGTAACTATTATTAGGCTGCCTGAGATCATTCGAGCCCACAAATTAAATACCGCATACACCCTGCAGAGACTCCACATACTGCCAGTGTGATCTTACAGTACAGAGCGATCGTTGTTTATACAGCGTGGAGTGATCATTATCCCTGTATACTCCATATTAATATACAGTGCAGTATAACCAGTGTACACCATGGTATATTTATAAAACGTTCAAACTTATTAATTCTGCAGTTTTGCATGTACGATCATTGTGTGCAAATATGGGCGAATTGAATGATACTATGCCATTTTCTTTCCAGGTCAGATGTTCTTCATTCATAAGAACGGCATGAATCGGGTAAATACCACATTATGGCCACTAGGTGGAGCAGATAGGAAATAAATTCATGTTTTACTGTGATCATCAGCTCCATCTAGGGGCCATAATGCAATATTTTCTGGATTTCCTCTGTTGTGAATGAAGAACATCTGACCTGGAGAGAAAATAACTCCGTAACATTCGATTTTGCTGGCATTTGCACAATACAAATGTGAATGCAGTTTTGCAGGAAGAATAGCTCTGCATCTTTTTAATACAACCCTGTACAGAGGAATGTGACGCTGACTCTATATATGACGGTTCACCTTTCAGGCATCATGTCCATTCAGAAGATTCATGCTCGGGAGATCCTTGACTCCCGCGGGAATCCAACCGTGGAGGTGGACCTCTTTACCGCCAAAGGTAAGTGAAGTGACCTTCCATTGGCTCGGGCTGAGAAGTGTCACAATAGTAAAAGAAATGGTTAAATAATTTTAGATAAATGGTATGTATGAAAGTGATCGGTTTAAGACCTGTCCAAATTCAGTAGAAAGGAACTTTGCTTTGTTCACACATTCCATGCACATGTGATGATTCCTGCGACACATGTTACTGGATGAATATGGAGTCAAATGTGGTCGAATATGAGGTTAGAGGAAATGGTTCTCCTTTTGCCCGCTATATCCCCTAAACAATTATTATAAAAGCCTAAAATCTTCCTCCATGTGGTCAGCAAATGGCACCTGGTGGGATTTTTTTTTTCCTTTGGTGGACACTCCATCCTGAGGATCTCTTTTTTTCCCTGAATTGATTCCCCAAGTCTGGTACCATTTTGAAGGGGTTCTTCATGTATGAGTTGTTCACAGGACTTCTCTTTTAACAACAATACATTTGAAAGATAAGATATCATCTTCATCACGTGAACTGCATGCGCATCCTTGAAAAAGTGGATGTTGTTCCATGAAATGCGTTGGATGAACTTATGAATTTGCAAGATTCTTTGTGATGTCTAAAATAATGATGTCATTATTGGTCTGTCCATGATCTTTCATCAAGATAGTTTATAAATATTATTATTCAGGATTTATATAGCGCCAACATTTTCTGTAGCGCTTTACAAGATAAATGGAGACAGTACAGTGATGAGACAATTCAATACAAGAGGGTTGGGGGCCCGGCTTATGAGAGCTTACAATCTAAAAGGGAGGGGCAAGTGATACAAAAGGTAATAAGTGTGGTGGGTGAGATGATGGAGAAAGTAAATGTCAGTAGTTAGGTAGAGGCGGGAAAGCTTTCTCCGAACAGATGAATTATCAGGGATTGCCTAAAAGTAGACAGAGTAGGAGATAGCTGGATGGATTGGAATAGGGAGTTCCAGAAGATGGGAGAAGTTCAGGAGAAGTCCAGGAGGCAAGAATAGGAGGAGGCTACGAGAGAGCTAGAGAGCCGGAGGTCCTGGAGAGGATGGTTTGGGTGATTGAGATGAGGTTGGTGACGTAGCTTGGAGAAGGGTTGTGAGTTTTATTCACTGGGTAAAAGCCAGTGGAGGAATTAGCAGAGAAGGGTGGAGGACATTGAGTGGTTGGTGAAGTAGAGGAGGCCAACAACGAGGGAGCTGCAGTAGTCAAGGTATGAAATAACTAGGGAGCAAATGAGTATCTTGGTGGTGTCATTTGGATAAGAAGGGGCCATTTTTTGGAATAGTTAGAGGTGAATGCGGCAAGATTTGGACAGTGGGTGGAAAGGGGAGTTCAGAGTCCAGGATTACAGCTAGTCTAAAAGCAGAAAGAGTAGAAGATAGCTGGACGGATTGGGATAGGGAGTTCCAGAAGATGGAAGAAGGTCTGCAGAAGTCCGGGATTCAGAAATAGGAGGAGGCTAGGAGGGAGCTAGAGAGTAGGAGGTCCTGGAGAGGACGGTTTGAGTAATTATTTTGAGATGAGCTTGGTGATGTAGCTTTGGGGGAGGGTTGTGAATTTTATTCACTGGGCAATTGAAAGCCAGTGGAGGGATTAACAGAGAAAGGTGGAGGACTTTGAGTGATTGGTGAAGTAGATGAAGCCAACAACGAGGGAGCTGCAATAGTCAAAGTATGAAATAACCAGGGAGAAAATGCTTATCTTGGTGGTGTCATTTGGTTAAGAAGGGGCCATTTTTTTTGAAAAGTTATAGAGGTGAATGCGGCAAGATTTGGACAGTGGGTGGAAAGGGGAGGTCAGAGTCCAGGATTACAGCTAGTCTAAAAGTAGACCGAGTAGGAGATAGCTGGATGGATTGGGATAGGGAGTTCCAGAGGATGTGAGAGAGCTTGGAGAAGTCCTGGAGACAAGTATAGGAGATGGTGACAAGGGGGCTAGAGAGCAGGAGGTCTGAGGGAAGGGACTGATAGTTGTGTTATTAAAGTGTTACTAAACCCACAACAGTACAATCAGTCTGTAGATGCAGTAAAGCATGCTTGTTATACTCACTGTGGAACCTAAGGGGTTAATCCTCTGAATTGGCTTAAAATGTTGTTTGATCCTGTCTCCTCTGTTCCTCCCCTCCTTCAAGTAGCCCCCTCTTATTTCCCTTCTGCTAATGCTCAGTTTAGTGTGTATTGCTAGAGAGGTTTTATTCTTGGGAGAGTGCATGTGATCAGCACAGGGCCAATCAACACTGTCCAGACAGAGATCAGGGGTTTTGCATCCTTCTAGAGAAAACTCCTCCTACAAGGTTTAACCAGTGCTCTGCTGGACACTGATAGAAGCCACAAGACTGCTCTAACTGCTAATGAGAAAAGGTATTTAGCAGTTTATATTTACTAACAAAATTGCCATTTCCATATTCTGTGTACTGTGGGAGACCAGATATAGTGACTGCAGGTTCCGGGGGGACCGGATATAGTGAATGCAGGGTCCTTGGCAGACCAGATATAGTGAATGCAGGGTCCTGGGAGAACGGATATAGTGAATGCAGGGTCTGGGGAGAGCAGATATAGTGAATGCAGGGTCCGGGGAGACTAGATATAGTGAATGCAGGGTGCGGGGAGACCAGATACTGTATAGTGAATGCAAGGTCCGGGGAAACCAGATATAGTGAATGCAGGGTCTGGGGAGAGTGGATATAGTGAATGCAGGGTCCGGGGAGACCAGATATAGTGAATGCAGGGTCCGGGGAGACCAGATATAGTGAATGCAGGGTCCGGGGAGACCAGATATAGTGAATGCAGGGTCCAGGGAGACCAGATATAGTGAATGCAAGGTCCGGGGAAACCAGATATAGTGCATGTTGGTTCTGGGGTTTAGTAACACTTTAATCTTGATGGAAACGTTGGGGGAGATGACATGGGTGAGCAGGAGTGTGTCCATTGGGTTAGTTCAAAAGTTGAGGGTAAGATGAGAAGTTGGGATGTTGAACAGCTGAACTATTAACATTGACAGGATTGTTAAAGTCACCAAGAATGATAGTGGAGAAGGTCAAAGTTCGTCCTCTCAATTTGTCTTCATGACCATGGTGAACAAGACACAAAGATGAGAAATTCAAACCAGAGCACAAAGTTATAGGAATCTTCCGGTGACAGCTGTCCAAGAGGGGATGTCCCTTCACTTTGTGTTCCTGCTGGGGAGAGCCCCTCTTTCTAATTGTCCTGATGGAGTAAAGAGAAAATCCAAAAGTTTGAGTTGTCACAAAAATAAAAGAAGATTCTTCCAATGGGGACTTCTGTACTGGTGGCAACTGTTCAAGGATTTCCTCCTTTCTGGAGAGATTTCTTCTCAATTCCTGTGGTGTCCATGGAACAGGAAGTGAGATGGGACACAAATGGGAGCACAGATCCTAACAGGGGTTTAACCATTAATAGAGAAAAATAAAAATTGGGTGCAGTCACCACAGCTAATTTCTGGTAAGCTGCAAAAAAACATTTTTGCTCTTGGGTTGGATACATTTTAATTTTACATGTGCTGTGCTTTGTAGCAGAAGTAAATTTCGGCACTGTCTAAATGATTCTCCTGCTCACTGATATAGGAAATGAGCCAGGAGGGTGAGATGTACAGAAAAATATTAATTGATAAGATACATACTATGTACATATGAATGTTATATTATATAATTATTATAAATATTGATATTGTGTCCATGCCTTAAGTGTCCTAAGTCCTTCAATCTTGTTTTTATATCAGGTCTCTTCCGGGCTGCTGTACCCAGCGGAGCCTCCACAGGAATTTACGAGGCCCTGGAACTGAGGGATGGGGACAAGTCTAGATACCTCGGCAAAGGTGAGCAATGGAGCCCAGTCCATTCCTTCTACTGGCTGCATGACCATGGCTCTGCCATCCACCATGCTGGAAAGTTAGATGCATAGATGTAGCAATCGTTGGTTGACCAGGGAATTCCTTGGCTCTGCCCAAAGACATCTATCCTAGGAAGTCACCTGAAATGGGAATATCCATTCGCAGGAAGATCCTTCCTGAACCTCATATGCAATCAGATAATCCTTGGACCATCTACAATGTTATTTCGTATGAATATTAGCAATCATTGAGTATTTAGAAACACATTTATCCCTACTGAGAGGGCTAGAACTAGGTCTTGTGGAAGTCTCACAGCTTTTACAGTAAAGATCCCTGTGTGTTTGCAGATGTTAAACCTCTTCGACTGGGTGCGAAAAGTGCCTCCTTTGTCCTTTGCAGATATTTATATGGCCCCAACAATTTTTGCAGCACTCAAAATATTGTATATACACATCAGTCCCTGCACTCAAGGAGCTTACAATCTAAGGTTCCTATCTCGCATGCATACGCATACTAGGGCCAAATGGAGATAAGATTTACTTAACCCACCAGCATTTCATTAAAGTGTGGGAGGAAACTCCCACAGGCACAGGGAGAACATGCAAACTCCATGCAGATAGTTTCTTGACTGGGTTTTACAGCAGAGGCCCTTGTACTGACAGGCAGCAATACTAGGCCACTGTGCAGCCCAAATGGCATGAGAAGTCATCTCCGTCTCGTGATATAAAAAACTGGAAACCTTAGCGATATCAATACATACTCTCTAGAAAAGGTGTACCAAGAACACCAGTAGCCAGAATTCAGAGCATTTCAAACATCAACATTGGCAACAGATACTCTTTAAATATCATGGAACTATCCAGTCCAGGTCATCTTCAAAGATACAAAGAGCTGTCTCATTCATGTCATCATTACTCCTCCTTCCCTTTCCAGGTGTCCAGAAGGCCGTGGACCACATCAACAAGACCATTGTACCGGCTCTCCTGGAGAAGGTGAGGTGATTAGGAAGGACAGAAGATGCCATAGTGGCTTATACTGACAATGGGCATAGAAAAAAACAAAGTTTAAAAAGTACTTGGACCTTGTTGTACATGAGGTGAAAGCATTTCAAGGCCCATTTATTTCCACTTCACAATGTTCTCAGTGATGAGTTATATTTAAGTTTGACAATAGACCTTGTTGACCTGTTCCAGCCATGGACCAAGCCATCTCAAAGGACAAGGGGTGAAATGGAGTGTGGGCTCTACAATGAGGGTCCCGTGTACCACTTTACCGGTCCCTCCAGTGGACATGTGGCCCTTGAAGACCCCTTTCAGGGCCAGAGTAGCCAGACCACTGATGGAGGGAATATTTAGAATGATCTATTTATAACGGACTGCTAAGTTTAGACTTCCCCAATTGTTTCAGTTTAGAGGAAGTCACACCCAACCTCAACTGGGTAAAATGACTCCCTTGACCACTCCAGGGCAATTGGATCAATTCCTTGGATCAGATTTTACCCAAAAGACATTTTCTGTAATAATTATAGACAAAAGTCATTATTAGAAAAACATCCAGTCCTTTGTTATATCCTATTATTGATTTTACCATTACTACTGCCTTTTCTATAGAGAATCCCTTCCTATAGTGATGTAATATTGTCTTCTCTCGACACATATCACAATCCAATCCCCATTACAAGTGGTCTTCTAGTGGGCCCATATCTGGATCTGGGACAAATTTCCTTTCTGTACCCCATTAGTAATACTGTTCTGCTTTCTCTCTCAGAAATTAAGTGTGGTGGAGCAAGAAAAGGTCGACAAACTGATGCTGGAACTTGACGGGACCGAGAATAAATGTGAGTGGCTGAAGCTTAAAAGGCAATAAAGCAATGAGTACCTTCAAAGAGAAGCTGCAATACTGTGACTTGGAGGCTGCATACTGCTTCTTCACCTTCCAATAAATTTGCTAAACAATGATGACTTTTTATGGCAGTAATGATGGCAGCTGTATAATTATGTCTGTGTCAGGGCTCTGGTGACCTGATCTGCCCTACTAACACTTCCTTCTACAACAGCAAAGTTTGGTGCTAACGCCATCCTGGGGGTGTCACTGGCTGTGTGCAAGGCTGGAGCCGCCGAGAAGGGTGTTCCACTCTACCGACACATCGCTGACCTGGCTGGAAATCCTGATATCATTCTTCCCGTCCCTGTGAGCACACATTCATCTTTCCTTTTACCTCTCCTCTCTTCCCTTTCTTCATTTCCTTCCTTTTCTTTTCTTTTCTTCTTCTCCCTTCCTAACTACCTTTCTTCTCCTTCCTTCCTCTTACCTACTCACCTACCTACCTATGTTTCTTCCTTCCTTTCCTCTTCTCACCTTTTTCTTCTTTCCTTCCCATTCTTTTCCCTACCCCTATCCTTCTCTTTCTTTTCCCATCTACATTCCTCCTTCACTTCCCTTTTTTCCTTCCTTCCTTCTTCCCTTTCCTCTTCTTTTTCCTTCCTTCCTCCCTTTATTTTGTCCTCCTTCCTACCTACAATATCTACAATATCTATCTTCCTTCCATCCTTTCGTCTTCTCTTCTTTCGATTTCCTTTTTCTCTCCTTCTTTCCTATCTTCCTTCCTTCTTTTCCCTTCCTTACTCATTCCTGCCTACCTACCGACTTTCCTTCCTTTCTCCTTCCCTTCTCCTTCCCTTCTTACCTTTATTCTTGCTTTCTTTTCTTTCTTTTTCTTTCTTTTTCTTTCTTTCCTTTTCTTTTCTTTTCTTTTCTTTTCTTTTCTTTTCTTTTCTTTCCCTTTCTTTCTTGTCTTTCTTTCTCTCTCTTTCCTTCTTCCTTCCTTCCTCTCTCTCATTCTCTCTCTCCCTCTCTCTTTTCTTTCTTTCTTTTCTTCCTTTCTTTCTTTCCTTCTTTCTTTCTTTCTTTCTTTCCTTTTCTTTTCTTTTTTTTCCTTCCTTTCTCTCTCTCTCTCTCTTTCTTTCTTTCCTTCCTTTCCTTTCTTTCTTTCTTTCTTTCCTTTCTCTTTCTTTCCTTTCTTTTGCTTTCTCTTTCTTTCCTTGCTTTCTCTTTCTTTTCTTCCTTCCTTTCCCTTCCTGATATCTACTTTAATTTTTATAAAGAAAATCAGTTATATGTTTTATTAATGATTAAGGGCTCCTTTCCATGTTTGCATTGCAGTAACACACGCATTGCCCAAACATGCATTGCAGTTGATTTCAAATGGCACCCCACCACACTGAGGAAATGCACATGCATTGCAATGTTCCTCAAGACACTATAGTGCATTGCATTACAAATTTTGTCTCAGGTCCGATTTTTAGGATTATTAGGACTTGACAGCCCATTTTTTTTTTATTGGGCTGCTTAAACCCCAAAAAATGTAAATGGGTTCAGCAGGGACTGGCTAAGATATGATCCATCTATGGGCAGGCTGGTTGTACTTAAGTCGATCCATCAATCGACTTGGGTACAATCAGCCTGTTAGATTTTTTAAGTGCGATTGTTGCCGACGGCTATTCCATCTAAATGGAATGTCTTCTTGTGCAATATGGAGAGACAGTTAGTCTCCAGGTTCTACCAAGAGGTATTTCAGAGTCTGGGTCAAGGTCAAGCTAATGTGGTGTTCCAAATTAACAGAAATGAATGTATCTTATTACTGATGTGCTGCTTGTGCATATTTTTTAGTAAATGATTTAACATATAAAAAGGTAAAAAATAAATATTTAAGAGGTCCTACATGGCAACTGTCCAGGTAACTCCCCTTTTGACCAAGAGGGCAGATCCTTGGTACACTTGCCTTTTTGTCTGCCCCTTGATCCCTCCTCTTCCTTCTCCTCACCCTTCCTGCCTCCTCCTCTTACACTGATTTTTGTCTTCCCTCAGGCATTTAATGTGATAAATGGAGGTTCTCATGCCGGGAATAAGTTGGCCATGCAGGAATTCATGATCCTGCCGGTCGGAGCCTCTACCTTCAGGGAGGCCATGAGGATCGGTGCAGAGGTCTACCACAACCTGAAAGCCGTCATCAAGGCCAAGTACGGCAAGGATGCCACCAATGTTGGAGATGAGGGTGGCTTTGCTCCAAATATCCTGGAGAACAACGAAGGTGAGATGGATCAGAAGCTACAAAGAGACAAGGGGTCTACCCACTTTCAGTCAGTATGTACCAGCTGCATTTGTTTGTACAGTAAAGGTCAATTTCTCCACGATACCGGGCTAGATTCATATATGCATTACATGAAATAAATGATGTAAACATGTGAATCCCTTGTGCATCCCCACAGCCCTAGAGCTCCTAAAGGCTGCCATTGAGAAGGCTGGATACCCTGATAAGATTGTCATTGGAATGGATGTGGCTGCATCAGAATTCTTCCGCAAGGGGAAATATGATTTGGACTTCAAGTCCCCAGATGACCCAAACCGCTACATCTCTGGACAACAGCTTGGTGACCTCTACAAAAATCCTTCATCAAGAATTACCCAGGTGAGTCTGAGAAACCTTTAGGAAGTCCACAGTGCTGGAAGAGTTACCAGTCTGTCCCTTCACCTGCAGGGTGACACACTGTTCTCTCTCTCTACAGTGGTCTCCATTGAGGACCCCTTTGACCAGGACGACTGGGAAAACTGGAAGAACTTCCTCACCACTGTTGATATCCAGGTAGTTGGGGATGATCTGACAGTGACAAACCCAAAGAGAATCCAGAAGGCTGTGGAGGAGAAGGCCTGCAACTGTCTTCTTCTGAAAGTCAACCAGATCGGATCAGTCACAGAGTCCATCCAGGCGTGAGTGTTCACCAATCACTGCAGTAGTAATTTAAACGCATGTTTCGGTTGTGTTTTACGATCTACCAAATTTTGGATAAGTTGTACAAGAAGGTCAGTGTGAGTGGGTTACATAAGGCCTAATCTCATCCTAGAGACTGCATCAAGTTCTATGGAACAAATAATGGATATCTTGAAGAATTTTCTCAACCTCAATGAAAATTGTAACATTGGTGGGTCAATCTTACAAATAGATACTGTTCTCTCTGGAGGACAGTCAAAACCTTTGTGTGTACGGAGAAGCTTAATGTTTAATACCATTGCCATTGGAATGAACAATATTTTATTGTTGGGTCACACTACATAGATACATTTTATAATAAAAACACATCAAAGTGTCTTATTTATGTGTGGATGGCTTCAAAGTCTTTAGCACACAGTGAGAAGGGTCAATATCTGCCAGGTACATTTTATAGATATTCTGATTTTGAAGAAAAGAGTTCTTCTATCCTTGCTGTAGTATTAATATGAATCTGGTCTGTGCAGGTGCAAGCTGGCCCAGTCCAACGGCTGGGGTGTGATGGTCAGCCATCGCTCCGGCGAGACAGAAGATACTTTCATTGCTGACCTGGTGGTCGGATTGTGTACAGGACAGGTGAGTAAAAACAAGGAGACTGTGTACAGGACAGGGGAGGGGGAAAGGAGATCATGCACAGGACAGGAGAGGAATGGGGCAGTGTACAGGACAGGTGAGAGAGGAAGGGGGCAGTGTACAGGACAGGTGAGACACGGAAGGGGGCAGTGTACAGGACAGGTGAGACACGGAAGGGGGCAGTATACAGGACAGGTGAGACGAGGAATGGGGCAGTGTACAGGACAGGTGAGACACGGAAGGGGGCAATGTACAGGACAGGTGAGACGAGGAATGGGGCAGTGTACAGGACAGGTGAGACGAGGAAGGGGGCAGTGTACAGGACAGGTGAGAGAGGAAGGGGGGGCAGTGTACAGGACAGGGGAGACACGGAAGGGGGCAGTGTACAGGACTGGGGAGAGAGGAATGGGGCAGTGTACAGGACAGGTGAGAGAGGAAGGGGCCAGTGTACAGGACAGGTGAGACACTAAAGGGGGCAGTGTACAGGACAGGTGAGACACGGAAGGGGGCAGTGTAGAGGACAGGTCAGAGAGGAAGGGGGCAGTGTACAGGACAGGTGAGAGAGGAATGGGGCAGTGTACAGGACAGGTGAGACACGGAAGGGGGCAGTGTACAGGACAGGTGAGAGAGGAAGGGGGCAGTGTACAGGACAGGTGAGAGAGGAAGGGGGCAGTGTACAGGACAGGTGAGAGAGGAATGGGGCAGTGGACAGGACAGGTGAGACACGGAAGGGGGCAGTGTACAGGACAGGGGAGAGAGGAATGGGGCAGTGGACAGGACAGGGGAGAGAGGAAGGGGGCAGTGTACAGGACAGGTGAGAGAGGAAGGGGGCAGTGTACAGGACAGGTGAGAGTGGAATGGGGCAGTGTACAGGACAGGTGAGAGAGGAAGGGGGCAGTGTACAGGACAGGTGAGAGAGGAAGGGGGCAGTGTACAGGACAGGTGAGACACGGAAGGGGGCAATGTACAGGACAGGGGACAGAGGAAGGGGGCAGTGTACAGGACAGGGGACAGAGGAAGGGGGCAGTGTACAGGACAGGTGAGAGAGGAAGGGGGCAGTGTACAGGACAGGTGAGAGAGGAATGGGACCATATACAAGATAGGAGAGTAAGGGAACCATGTACAGGACAGTTGGGAGTAGGGGACCATGTACAGGAGAGGGAGGGGACTGTGTACTGGACAGGGGAGAGAGGGAGGGGGCCGTGTACTGGACAGGGGAGAGAGGGAGGGGGCCGTGTACATGATAGGGGATGTTTGTATATTGATAACAACTGTGTCAGCCCATTAGAATGTAACCTTCTCTGGTGCAGAGACTGACGTGAATGGCTCAGTGATCTCTTTCCAGAGCAGTGGAATGGGTCAGCTAATACATGGGAAATACATTAATAAATTAGAAACACTTTCCTTTTTTTTTTTTCTCAGATCAAAACTGGTGCCCCCTGCAGGTCAGAGAGATTGGCCAAATACAACCAGTTGATGAGGTAAGTGGGGGGGACACAATAATCTAAAGGCTAACCCCATCAATACAACATGTCATGGGTGACAAGCGGCAGTGTGCGTTCATGTGCTCCTATTTTGGTTTCCTCCACAGGATTGAGGAGGAGTTGGGAGACAAAGCCAAGTTTGCTGGAAAGAACTTCAGGAACCCCAGAGGAAAATAAACCAAGAACTTCCCCAGAATCCATCGCAACACCAAGCCACCATCCCAGAATCCTCTCCGTACAGCGTCCCCAGGGGTCCTCCACAAGCCCCATGTCCACCACTGTGCCATAAAGTGGAACTTGTCAATGGCAACCCAAATGCATATGAAGCCGGCGGAATTCTGACATTTCAGTTTGATGACCCAAATCACTCAGTGGCTTCTTAAATCTCTCTGACCGTGAGGTTTCCCCGTCTAACACAACGTCCTCTGGTGTCACCTCTCCTGAAGAGCTCTCCATAATGCCCAGGAAACAGAAATAGGGGAGTCCATTAAGAGAGTGACACTTTTCTGTAGCCTTATGGAAGTGGCACAAAGAATTGTGGGAGATTCTCATGACTGTGGCAGAGGCAGAGACACAAGCTACTGCACTGCTCTCACCACGAAGGGGTTTCAGAAATATAAGAAGCCATCAGGTGATTATAGTCATCAGTACCCATCCAAAACTGAAATATGACAACCTTATAAATGTCCTGGCTGGACCCTGCCCATTGCACTTGGCCCTGTCTTCTCCGATTGTAAATATTCATGCTATGGAGGAGCGTGCCTCCCCTATCCCTCTGAGCATTAAAAAGAAGCACCGATCTTCAGTCTTCTGCCGGCCTCCAATGCATTTGAAGGCACAGCGGTGAGTTTCCAAATTCAATTGAAATAAAGACAAAATGTAAGATATAAGAGCCTGTGAGTTTTATTTCCAAGTCACCTACAATGGTGCGCCGATCTCTTCCAGACCACTGGACGACATAATTTGCTGTGCACGCCGGCGTTGTGTAAATGTTATGGAAAGATGGCAGGAAAACCAAGAGCATCGTTTATGGAAACCTTCCATGAGCTTTCCACCAGGATTGCTAGAAATGGAAAGAAAAAGGGAAAATAGCCCATTACATGACTGGTGTCAGTGGCATAGTGGCTCCCAGGGAAGAATAGCCTCTCAAATCACTGTCAGTGGAATAGTTGAACCCTAGGAAAGACCATCCCCTTAAAGTATTGGGGTCAATGGGATTGTTGCCCCCAGGAGTGAATAACCCCTCAAATCATTAGTATCAGTGGGTTAATGGCCTCTCCAGGAGTGAATAGCTCCTCCAATCATTAGTAGCAGTGGTTAATGGCCTCCAGAAGACAATAGCCCCTCAAATCATTAGTGTCAGTGGTATAGTTGCCCCCAGGAGAGAATAGCCCTTCAAATCATTAGTGTCAGTGGGTTAATGGCCTCCAGGAGAGATAGCCCCTCAAATCATTAGTGTCAGTGGGTTAATGGCCTCCAGGAGAGAACAGCCCCTCAAATCATTGCTGTCAGTGGTATAGTTGCCCCCCAGGAGAGAATAGCCTTTCAAATCATTAGGGTTAGAGGGATGGTGGCCCCCAGCAGTGAATAGCTCCTCAGATTATTGCAGTCAGTGGGATAACAAGCACTAGGGGAGAAAAGCCCTTGAAATCATGGATGTCTATGGGATAGGGACCCCCAGGGGAGAATAGTCCCTAAAATCATTGATGACAGTGGGAGAGTTGAGCCCAGGGGAGAATAGCCCCTTAGGTCATTGCAGTCAGTGGCCCCCAAGGGAGAATGGCCCTTCAAATCATGGGTGTCAGTGGGATAGTGGCCCCAAGGAAGAATAGTTCCTTAAATTATTGGTATCAGTGCCTCCCCAGGAAAGAAAAGCCCCTCAAATCATTGGAGTCAGTTGAATAGGACCCAACACCCCCCCCCCTCCAAAAACAGAAGAGCCCCTCAAATCAGTGGAGTCAGTTGAATAGGACCCAACACCCCCCCCCTCCAAAAACAGAAGAGCCCCTCAAATCAGTGGTACAGTGGTCCCCAGGGCAGAATGTCCCTCAACTCATTGCTGTTAGTGGGATAGTGGCCCCCAGAAGAGAATAGCTCCTCAGATCAATGCTGTCAGTGGGATATTTGACCCCTAGGGAAGACTAGCCCCTCATATCATTGCTGCCAGTAGGATAATTGACCCCCAAAAGAGAATAGCCCCTCAGATCATTGGAGTTAGAGGGATAGCAGCCCCAGGGAAGAACAGCCCTTCAAATCATGGGGGGGTGTCAGTGGCCCCCAAGGGAGAAGAAACTCTCAACATTACAGGTATCAGTGGAATAGTCTCCTCCAGGAAAGAAAACCTCTCCAATCATTGGAGTCAGTGTAATAAACCCCACCCCGGAGAGTTTCAGCAGGTTAGTGGTCCCCAGAAGAGAAAAGCCCCTTAAATCAGTAGCGCCAGTGACAGTCCCCAGAGTAGAATAGCCCCTGAAATCATTGCAGTCAGTGATTATAGTTGGCCCCAGGAGACAAGAACCCCTCAGATCACTGATGCTAATGCGATGGTGGCCCCCAGGAAATAACAACCCTCTAATCATTCGAGACAGTGGGATCATGGTCCCAGGAAAAAAAAAAAAAAATAGGTCCATGAATTGATAACCTCTGTAGCAGAGTGGTCCTAATTGAATAGAGCCAAATCACTGGTAAGCAGTGGGATTGTTGCCATTGAGAAGAACAGCCCCAAAATCATTGCTGTCAGTAGGAACATGGCCCCAAAGAGAGAACAGATCCTCAAATCAAATGATGTTGGTGATTAGAGTGACCCCAGGGGAAGAACAAAATCAGAGTAGTGGCCACTCGGGGAAGCATAGCTTCTAAAATAATCAATTAAGTCAGTGGGATAGTGGCTGCAGGGGAGGAAAGTCCCTCAAATCATTGGTAGCAGTAGAATATGGACAGCCCCTCAAATGTTTGCCATCGGTGGGATAGATGCCACTCAAAAAAAGCCAACCTTCAGAGGCGTGATTGGTGTGTGTGGGGGGGGGGGGGGGGGGCGACTATGCTTTTATTACTACCAGCACCATAAACATAACTGGGGGAGACATTTTTACCATTTTCCTGTTAAAGTGGTTCTAAAGGCTTTTTAAAAAAAAAAAAAAAAAAAAAAAAAAAAAGAACCCCACACACCTTTCATGCATTCTATACATGAAGGTAAAAAACCCTCTGTGCAGCATCCCCCCCATAATACTCACCTAAGCCCCCCTCATGTGCACTGGAGTCCTGGCAAGCATGAGACTCCCTCTCCTCATTGGCTGAGACAGCAGTGGAAACCATTGGCTCCCACTGCTATCAATCACAGCCAGTCAATGAGGAAAGAGCCTGGGCAAAGCCACGCCTCCATGTATGAAAAGGACACACAGAGCAGTGATACCCCCATAGCAAGCTGCTTGCTGTGGGGGCACCTAACAGAAGTGATGGGCTAGGAGCGTTGGCAGAGGATCCAAGAAGAGGAGGTTCCTGGCTTCTTTGTGCAAAAGCACTGCACATAGCAGGTAAGGCTGGCCATACACGATACAATTTTCTGTCCAATTTCCTTTGGATTTACCTGTGTAGTGCAAGGGCCTGCCTGACTTGATACAACTGAAAGTGTTGTGTGGGTTTGACCCAGGGACGGACTGACAACTCATGGGGCCTTGCCCAAACTCAAAAAAGCCTATGGAAAAAAGGTACCAGGGGCATCTCATGGTGCCCCCTACTGACATCGAGCAGTGCCCGAGTTCCCAAATGGTCAGTCCGCCCCCTGGTCAGCCAAGGAACTGGCATCTTCAGATGAAAAGGTAAGCAAAGAGCAGCCTCCATGTAGTTCTCTTGAATGTACTAAGGACAAAGTGTCCAAGCTGGCCCCGAGAGCTTACAGTGGGCCCCTACTGGTGCCTTTCATTTTCCAATAATGTACACCAGAAACTGAGCACTTTTTTTATGCAGATCTTGACTTTTGGAAGAGAGGTCAAAGGCTGGCCCACTCCTTCCGCACTTGGCCGTTGAGCCCACCCATCACACTTAGCAGCCAGTAGGGAGGTTCAGAGGGTGGAAGATGGTGGGGGGGGTGGACCAGGCGTTACCTTTCCTTCCTATAAAGGAAAAAAAAAAAAAAAAAAAAAAGAAGTACCAGTGGCATTTCATAGGGCCCCCTACTGAGCCCGGGCAGTGCCAGAGTTTCCAAATGGTCAGTCCGCCCCTGGTTTGACCTCATATTATATGGTTTTTGGTAAATCTAAAGAAAAAAAAATCAAGAAGTATAATTTATGGCCAGCCTTAGAATATGTTTGAAAAAAAAAAAAAATCAATAAATGTAAGCCTTTTAGAATCACTTTAAAATTTGGCCTCTTTTTTGGCCACTACCCCATAAACAGTCTCACAGTGGCACTTCTCTTCCTCCATCTAGGACTACAGGCCATGTAGGACTAACAGTAATAGGCCATACTTCAATTTATTCATGTTCTGGGGCCATTGTTGACGGCACTCCATGATTCTCACAGATCTCAGTCCCTGACCTTGTGCTAGAACACACAGACACTTGCTTTTCTTCATCTCCTGGGGGGGGGGGGGGGGGGGGGGGGGGACACCATCACTCCAGTTCAATGATGGATTGTTGCTTTTTGGTCTTTAGCAGTTTAATAAACACATTCAAGAACAGCACATCTACAAAACTTTAAATGAAAGGTTTGATCACTTTAATGAAGAGGTAGCTTCAAAACATGAACAGCAGACCATTTAAAAAAAGGTCACAACAGCCCCCACACCTAAAAAGAGGTAGTGACCCCCCAAAGCAGGACATGGTGGGGTGTTGCTACCTAGTCAGTATCCTATCAGAGCTTACATACTTCTGTGGGAACCAATAAAAACAAACATTCATAAAAGTCCAGCAAAAAAACACGCACGCTCGGATCATATGAGCTGACCTGGTACCCATGTAACTGGATGAACACCACAGGTGCCAACCCAATAAAAACAAGCACAGTTCCTACAGAAAGCACAAGCTAGCATTGTCCTTCCTTCGCCATATTTAAAAAGAAAAAAAAAAAAAAAAAAAAAAAAAAAAAAACCCCTTGAAGATGAAGCTTAAAATATATTTAAAAATCAGATAAAATTCTTAAAGTGTTATCATATTCCAGGAGGGTTTGTTTTTTGACAGTTGAATACATCAGGTGCCAAGTGAGACAGCGGCGAGGACTGTTCTATACAGAACGCTCATGACTTTCCACGGTCAGAACTCTCGCCTTATGGAGGCTTCCAAACGTCAGACAAAAAAAAAAAAAAAAAATATAATAATGAACTGATGTACTGAGAACAAAAAAGGAGGAATCCACAAGTATTAAAACCAATAACAGATAAAAACGGTCAGATCTCAGTCTTGGGGACCCTCAGAGCCGGTTTAGGAGGTGCCGGATGCAGACTCTCCATCGTCGTGTTTCAAACGCTTCTTAGCACGTATTTCATTCATAGCTTCCTCAATGGAGCGCGTGTCTCGCTTGTTAGCAACAGGAACTGAGGGAGGAGACAGAATTGACATTAACAAGAAACTGATGTTCAGTGAAGATGCTCTACTTATTCCAAGTATTACCTGGCCCTCTATGATCAGCACTGTCCTCATGCCATGGCCCTCCCTGATCAATTCCATCCTAGCACCTACATGCCATGGCCTTCCCTGATCAATTCCATCCTAGCACTTACATGCCATGGCCTTCCCTGATCAATTCCATCCTAGCACCTACATGCCATGGCCTTCCCTGATCAATTCCATCCTAGCACCTACATGCCATGGCCCTCCCTGATCAATTCCATCCTAGCACCTACATGCCATGGCCCTCCCTGATCGATTCCATCCTAGCACCTACATGCCATGGCCCTCCATGATCAATTCCATCCTAGCACCTACATGCCATGGGCCTCCCTGATCAATTCCATCCTAGCACCTACATGCCATGGCCCTGCCTGATCAATTCCATCCTAGCACCTACATGCCATGGCCCTGCCTGATCAATTCCATCCTAGCACCTACATGCCATGGGCCTCCCTGATCGATTCCATCCTAGCACCTACATGCCATGGCCTTCCCTGATCGATTCCATCCTAGCACCTACATGCCATGGCCTTCCCTGATCAATTCCATCCTAGCACCTACATGCCATGGCCTTCCCTGATCAATTCCATCCTAGCACCTACATGCCATGGCCCTCCATGATCAACTCCATCCTAGCACCTACATGCCATGGCCCTCCCTGATCGATTCCATCCTAGCACCTACATGCCATGGCCCTCCATGATCGATTCCATCCTAGCACCTACATGCCATGGCCCTCCCTGATCGATTCCATCCTAGCACTTACATGCCATGGCCCTCCCTGATCAATTCCATCCTAGCACTTACATGCCATGGCCTTCCCTGATCAATTCCATCCTAGCACCTACATGCCATGGCCCTCCATGATCAACTCCATCCTAGCACCTACATGCCATGGCCCTCCATGATCAATTCCATCCTAGCACCTACATGCCATGGCCCTCCATGATCAATTCCATCCTAGCACCTACATGCCATGGCCTTCCCTGATCGATTCCATCCTAGCACCTACATGCCATGGCCCTGCCTGATCAATTCCATCCTAGCACCTACATGCCATGGCCCTCCCTGATCAATTCCATCCTAGCACCTACATGCCATGGCCCTCCCTGATCAATTCCATCCTAGCACCTACATGCCATGGCCCTCCCTGATCAATTCTATGGCCCTCCATGATCAATACACTTCTCTCACATATATTTGTTGACCCTGCGCTAAACAATACTCTCCTTGCACCTGTAAACCATGTTCCTCCCCAAATACTGTCCTCAGACCTGTGTGACATGGCCCTCCCTGATCAATACTGTCAGCCTACCAGTATGACAAGCTCCTCCCTGATCAATACAGTCCTACCAGAATAACATGCTCCTCTCTGGGGAGGGTCATGTCACACAGGGGTGAGCACAGTATTTATCAGAGGGGAGCATGTTATACTGGTAGGCAGACAGTATCATGTCCCACAGGGGTGAGCATAGTATTGATCAGGGAGGAGCATGTTATATTGGGGAGGACAGTATTGATCATGGGGGGCCATGTCATACAGGGGCGAGGACAGTATTGTTTGGGGTGGGTCATGTCACACAGGGGTGAGCACAGTATTGATCAAACAATACTATCCTTACCCCTACTTGACATGACCCACTCCGTTCAGTCCCATCCTTGCCCCTGTATGACATGGCCCCCCATGATCATTACCGGCCTCGCCCCTGCATGACATGGCCCTCCCCGATCCACACCGTCCTCGCCCCTGTATGACATGGCCCTCCATGATCAATACCATCCTCATACCTGTGAGCATCCTTTATGGACCAGGAGCAAATTTTACATTTCTGCTCTGGGTGTAATGATTGAGTGATAACTTCATGTATTACATAGTTATAAAAGACAGTATACTGGTCATGGTAGGGACTACAAAACAGGTCTAGTATACCATACAGGTTATGGTGAAAAGGGAGGGAAAAAAAAAAAAAAAGCTGTCACTAGAAAACATGTGCCCCTTCTTAGATTTCCCCTCACCTCCTGTGCTGGTGACAACTCAAATACTCCACATTTTCTATCTAGGCAAATAACTGGTCACGCAGGTAACTTCTGTGCTGCTCACGGTTCTCCTTCCTGGAGGTTCTGGGTTCTGCCGCTACAAAGATGGCAGCCTCAATAAAGCATGGTATGTCAGTAATTGGGAAAAACATCAGCAGGGAGACCACAGGCAAGACTGGCGATTGGGACTTTGCTAGATTTTGGGTACAGCTTCCACAGTTCCAATTCCTTTAACCACTTCAACATAACAGGACGTCCTGGAGGCTGAAGTGGTTATACCAGGATGATGCCTGCAACTAGTTATCCTGCTATCTGTTTTCAGCCAGCGATGGCCTTTAATGTAAAAGTGATTGTAGCAGCTAATCAGCCACTGGATGGCTATTTACAGATTGCTGGAGGGAGTCTCTCGATCCCCCCTCCCCTCCTGTGCCACCTTTTCAGGCTCTACTCCCATTCCACCAGGGAACCCATGACTGAAGTTGGCAGTTATGCAGCTTACCATAGAGATGACCAAGGACCAGAAAGTCCCTGAACATCTCTATGGTATGACAAACCGGAAGCAATGAGTATCTTGTCACTTCCTGTGACACCAAGCTTGTAAAAGCATCTGATAAAACCGATATTGGTTTAATCAGATGCATTCAAAAAGGGCAGAGAAAAGATTGGGGGATCTATTAGACCTCAATTGTCTCAGTAAAGAGGACCTGTCATGGTCTAATCTATCACAAGGGATGTTGCTCATCCCTGGTGACAGCAATAAAGCGATTAAAATAAAACAATTATATAAAACATTACATAATCTAAACTTTAAAAAAGACTATGGAAAAAAAAAAAAAAAAAGGCTGATTTTTACATGCAGGAGAGAAGTGTCAGAATAGGTTAGGGACTGAAGTGGTTAAGGCTTTTATTTTACTCCCATTCATGGACACGTACAGGGGTCTCCAAGCTTTAAAAAAGGCCAGTTTAGAGTCCTTCAGGACTTAGGGGGCTAGACTTTGGCAGTGAGAGTAGAAAATGCCCCATCATTGGTTTTAGTGGGAGGAAGTGCCTCAGTTAGTACGAGTGGGAGAAATAGTGCCAGTGGGAGGAAAAATGCAAGGAACGGCAAGCAAAGAGCTACATCTGGCCCCCAGGGCACTGACCTTGAACAATTATACAGGCCAGGTGTATAAACTTCCCTGACTTCACTGGCTGCACACTTGTTCTGGTCAGTAGAATCAGAAAGCCTAGAAGCCGGTAGGGTAGCAACAGAAAACCTTGTGTTTCTCTCATAAGATAGCCAGCCCCCTGGCAGTCATCCTGACCCCCCAGCTTCAAGTCACCGACCTGAAGTTCAGGAAATCAGAATTTATCTGACTGCTTGCCCCAGGTCAGCATCTCTGAGGATTGAAGATAAAGGGCTGAAAGGATAGCCAGGGAACTAGCATTTGCAGAGAGGTTATTAATGACAGTCCTGCATTTTGCTCAGGACAGGGAACCTGGAGTGTGCCCAAAATAAAAAAAAAAAAAAAAAAAGGTAGAAGCTCATCATTTTGGAAATGTAAAGCATGCGGTCTAATTTCTCCTTTCCCCTTGAACAGTCCTTACCGCAGCCATATGCCTTGTTGGCTTGCAGAGTGTGAGCAGCGTCCTTGGCGGCCATCTTTCCGATAAGGTGACTGTATTTGTCCTTGTAGTCAGTGTTGGGGTTGACGCAGGAGGGACCTCTCAGGGCATCAGCTTCCGCCTCCTTCTGGGCCTGTTCCTGCCAGGACATGATCAGCACCATCAGTTATATATGGAGGAGGAGGAATTATTATACAAAAACCCAAAGAGCTACGGGCAGCCTATGCTTAGCTAGATGAGACACTAAGGGGTTGAGTTACTAAAGCTGGAGAGTGCAAAACCTGGAGCAGCTCTGTATAGTAACCAATCAGCTTCCAGGATTTAGAACAAGCCGACGTTGGGAGCCAATTGGCTGCCATGCACAGCTGCACCAGAATCTGAATTCCAGTTTTAGTAAATAAACCCAAAAAAAAAAAAAAAAAAAAATATAATAATAATAATAATAATAATAATAATAAAAATATATATATATCTCTCTATCTAAATGCAAACTTTAGTTTTTGATAGAGTGGAGAGGGGTTAGAGCCCCTGTGAGGTTTTCATTGTCTGTGGCCCCTTTTAGCCCTGGGTCACACTAAACACTGCTTTGAAGTCACCCTACTTCACTTGAAGTATCTCAATTTCATAGCCGCTGGTCAGTGTGATTTCATAGCCGCTGGTCAGTGTGATTTCATAGCCGCTGGCCAGTGTGATTTCATAGCCGCTGGCCAGTGTGATTTCATAGCCGCTTGCCTGATATCTGTGCGACTCCATGCAAGGATGTCTATGCAAGTCTCACATGAAAAAAGGGCAAAAATAGTGCGGGAAGTTTTTTTTCCTCCCCAAAATTAGTACCGCACTGCAAAGTCGGAGTCGAACTGATTTGAACGGTTCCATAGGCACAAGTAGGGTGCGACTTGTCATGAGATTTTGAACTGTCAAATGGCATTGGTGTGAACGGGTGTTTGGGGAGATTCATCATTTGTCCCGTGGACAGGTATCACCGAAGTGAAAGAAAATCCCAAATTTTGGGTTGTCACCAGAACAGGAATAAAGAAATCTTCCAATGGGGACACTAGTTCTGGTGACAACCAGGGCTTCCCTCATATTGGAGGGATTTGCAGTCACCTCCTGTTTTTGGAAAGGAAGTGAGGGGAAATTCCCCCCCAATGGGACACAGATTGCAAAACCGAAAAGGGTTCTAACCCTCCCTTACTCGTCAAAATGGAGGGGGGGGGGGGGGGGGGGGGGAAGCACTTTTTGGCAGGTAAACAAAAATGTGCGTTTATTATTTTTTTGGTTGCGGGAGCCCGTAAAACATCGCACCAACGATCAGCAGATTGATGATGCCATGCAGGTCTCCTGCAGATCTGCTTGCCTGTACGGGATACTGAGGAGACAACCCAATGAACTACTACAGGCACTCCACAGCGCCGTGGTATTTCATTGAGAACTACAAGCAGTCAGCCACTAAAGAGGATGAAATTTGTAGTTCATTCACAGAGCACTGAATGAGCGACACAGCTGTGTGGCATGGCCCAGCAGTTTAAAAAGAGACAGCTAGTACAGCTGATTGGGGGAATAGTAGGTGGCAGCAGTGCACTTCGCCCATTTCCTCCAGTGCCGGGTCTATTGCTAACAGGTTCCTACTTAAGGCTCAATAAAACCAAGAATTCCGGACCTCTTCCCAGCAGGCGGACTCCACCATACCTTCAATCTCTTCCTCTCCTCGGCCTTCACCGGGTCCCACTCCTCCCCCTTCCGATACGCTTCCAGCTCCTCATCACACGGAGCAAATTCCTACAACGCAGAATTCTTCATGAGAGGTCAGAGAGAACACGGCCATTGCCAGAACAAGCAAAACCAACACTCACCTTCTTAAAGATCATCACATATCTGCTCTCCTCATCCTCCCCAAAGGAAAATGAAGTCAGACCAGCCACCTCCACCACGTCATGTCTGCACAGGGGGAACATGGATGTAAGAGAGAGAAAGGACCAACCAGCAAAGAAACAGCAAGAGAGAGAAAAGCTATACGAACAGGATGCTGCGCTCAATCTTCCCCATTGGCTGAAACTTCTTCTTGGTCTGTGCGCTGTCCTGTATGAACTCCGACACCTCCTTCTCCATCTAGAAGAGAAATAAAACTCCTGTGTCACCCTGCACGAGGAGGACAGACTCATAGCCCCTTCTATATGCGTCACCCTGCAGGAGGAGGACAGACCCATAGCCCCTTCTATACGTGTCACCCTGCAGGAGGAGGACAGACTCATAGCCCCTTCTATATGGGTCACCCTGCAGGAGGAGGACAGACTCATAGCCCCTTCTATATGGGTCACCCTGCAGGAGGAGGACAGACTCACAGCCCCTTCTATATGTGTCACCCTGCAGGAGGAGGACAGACTCATAGCCCCTTCTATATGGGGGTCACCCTGCAGGAGGAGGACAGACTCATAGCCCCTTCTATATGGGTCACCCTGCAGGAGGAGGACAGACTCATAGCCCCTTCTATACGTGTCACCCTGCAGGAGGAGGACAGACCCATAGCCCCTTCTATACGTGTCACCCTGCAGGAGGAGGACAGACCCCATAGCCCCTTCTATACGTGTCACCCTGCAGGAGGAGGACAGACCAATAGCCCCTTCTATACGTGTCACCCTGCAGGAGGAGGACAGACTCGTAGCCCCTTCTATATGTGTCACCCTGCAGGAGGAGGACAGACTCATAGCCCCTTCTATACGTGTCCCCCTGCAGGAGGAGGACAGACTCATAGCCCCTTCTATATGTGTCACCCTGCAGGAAAGGACAGACTCATAGCCCCTTCTATATGTGTCACCCTGCAGGAGGAGGACAGACTCATAGCTCCTATATGTGTCACCCTGCAGGAGGAGGACAGACTCATAGCCCCCTCTATATATGTGTCACCCTGCAGGAGGAGGACAGACTCCTAGCCCCTTCTATATGTGTCACCCTGCAGGAGGAGGACAGACTCATAGCCCCTTCTATATGTGTCACCCTGCAGGAGGAGGACAGACTCATAGCCCCTTCTATATGTGTCACCCTGCAGGAGGAGGACAGACTCATAGTCCCCTCTATACAGGTCACCCTGCAGGAGGCAGGTAGGTCAATGTCGGAGGTCACTCACCCGTTTCCTGAACTCCACCTTCTGCCTCTTCTCATGTTCTTGCATCTTCTTGAGGCGGGCAGCTTGCTCTATAGGCAGACACGGCAATAAGTTGCAGAAAGACAATACCCGATATACAGAACACAAGAAGTTAAATTTCCCATTTTGAATTACACTCCCCAAAACAAAACAAAAAAAATTAAAAAGGAAGACTTTGTAATCTGAGTCTAGCATCAAGTCAATGACACTCCTGGGATATTAATCTGGTCAGGTAAGTAGCAGAGGGGGTTGTTCATCAGTTTCAGCTGCTTTGGTGTTAATGAAACAGGTGCACTAGATGGGCAACAATGAGATGACCCCCAAAACAGGGATGGCTTTACAGATGGAGGCCACTGATTTTTTTTCCTTACTCATCTTTTCTGACTGTTTTTCACTAGTTCTGCATTTGGCTAGGGTCAGTGTCACTACTGGTAGCATGAGGCCATACCTGGACCCTACAGAGGTTGCACAGGCAGTCCAACTCCTCCAGGATGGCACATCAATACGTACCATTGCTAGAAGGATGGCCGTGTCCCCCAGCACAGTCTCAAGAGCATGGAGGAGATTCCAGGAGACAAGAGCATGGAGGAGATTCCAGGAGACAGACAGTTACTCTAGGAGAGCTGGACAGGGCTGTAGAAGGTCCTTAACCCATCAGAAGGACCGGTATCTGCTCCTTTGTACAAGGGAGGAACAGGATGAGCCCTGCCAGAGCCTTACAAAATGACCTCCAGCACGCCACTGGTGTGAATGTCTCCGACCAAACAATCAGAAACAGACTTCATGAGGGTGGCCTGAGGGCCCGACGTCCTCTAGTGGGCCCTGTGCTCACTGCCGGCACCACAGAGCTCAATCGGCATTTGCCATTGAACACCAGAATTGGCAGGTCCACCACTGGCACTCTGAGCTTTTCACAGATGAGAGCAGGTTCACCCTGAGCACATGTGACAGACATGAAAGGGTCCGGAGAAGCTGTGGAGAACGTTCTGCTGCCTGTAACATCGTTCAGCATGACTGTTTTGGTGGTGGGTCAGTAATGTCTGTGTGTCCCTCCATGGCAGGGGTCTCCAAACTGCGGCCCTTTGCCTTTATTTGGCCCCACTATCAGGCACCATTTCCTCAATTTACACCAACTGTGGAGGATAATTTTTCCCAATCATTACTATTCAATGGTGGGGCACCAGTCCTCCCACTGACACAAAAAGAACGGGGCATTATTTTATGCGGTTTTTTTACTCCCACTGATGCCAGGACAATTTCTATTCCCACTGACCATAGTTCACACCCACCCAAAAATCCAAGGGCAATGAACTGGCCCTTTAATTAGAAAGTCTGAAGACCCCCCTAGAAGGGTAGAAACAAAGGAGTGACAGGTGTAGCTCCCCACACTGGCCACTAGATGTCACCATAGTGAAGTCAGGATCCCTTGTAGTGAGTAGGCGCCTTGGTAGTCCCAGAGTAGGGAGTAAGGTGTCACCATAGAACAGCCTCTGAACCGTTTAGGAACCCTTGAAATAACTTCCCGGTCTCAGGGAACCCCCTAATAAATGACTAGATCTACAACTCATGATACATCAGTGCAGGGGTTGGCAACCTGTCGATTGTGGTCTACCCGTCGACCGCGGGCAGGTGACAGGCAGACTGCAAACAGGTCCCTGCGCTGCCAACCCCCGCCTTTTATTTGCCGGACCCCCCGCCTCCTCCACTGCTGACATTCTCCGTGCACAGCAGAGAGCAGGAGGAAGAGCTGGCCAAATTAACTTGTCATATTAACTTGCAAGGGATTGCTTGTTAGGTTGGAAAGGGGGCTAAAAAGGTCACTGCTATGGGGAAGGGGGGGGGGGGGGGGGAGGTAATGTGCAGAAGAAACTGCTATGGGCAGGGCCACCCCCATAGCAGTATCTACTGCCCTTTAAATCCACCCCCCCCCAGCTGTGTCCTCTACCCACCCCCCCCACTAGCAGGGTCTTCTCCCCACCAACCCCCCCAAAAGGTCAAAGTATTTTAAAAACCTGAACTCCCAGCAAGTGGCTGGGGATTGGGATTTTATTGTGACCCTTCCCTACTTCCCTGGTGCCCTAAGGCAGAAGCATATGGCTACTTAGGCAGCTGCCTTAGGGCACCAGGGTAAGGTGGGGGCGCAGAAAAATCCCAATCCCCAGCCACTTGCTGGGAGTTCTGATTTGTAAGAACACCTTCCTTCAGACAATCCCCTTTGTCCTCCTAGAGCAGCTGAAAGCTGGCATCTCCTTGCCCTCCCACCAGCGTACAGCTGCTGCAGGGGGAAAATCCAGGGGATCGGTTCTAGTAAATGCCTCCCCTGCGGCTCCTACTTTTTTCTGCTGCCTGGCCTTTCCCCACAGTGCTCCCCTTTTAACAGGGGTCCTAAAAAAACCCAAAAACTACTGACACCGTCCACTGCCCTGACAACAACCTCTCCCCCTACCGACACCGTCCACTGCCCTGACAACAACCTCTCCCCCTACCGACACCGTCCACTGCCCTGACAACAACCTCTCCCCCTACCGACACCGTCCACTGCCCTGACAACAACCTCTCCCCCTACCGACACCGTCCACTGCCCTGACAACGACCTCTCCCCCTACCGACACCGTCCACTGCCCTGACAACGACCTCTCCCCCTACCGACACCGTCCACTGCCCTGACAACGACCTCTCCCCCTACCGACACCGTCCACTGCCCTGACAACGACCTCTCCCCCTACCGACACCGTCCACTGCCCTGACAACGACCTCTCCCCCTACCGACACCGTCCACTGCCCTGACAACAACCTCTCCCCCTACCGACACCCGTCCACTGCCCTGACAACAAACCTCTCCCCCTACCGACACCGTCCACTGCCCTGACAACAACCTCTCCCCCTACCGACACCGTCCACTGCCCTGACAACAACCTCTCCCCCTACCGACACCGTCCACTGCCCTGACAACAACCTCTCCCCCTACCGACACCGTCCACTGCCCTGACAACAACCTCTCCCCCTACCGACACCATCCACTGCCCTGACAACAACCTCTCCCCCTACCGACACCGTCCACTGCCCTGACAACAACCTCTCCCCCTACCGACACCGTCCACTGCCCTGACAACAACCTCTCCCCCTACCGACACCGTCCACTGCCCTACTGACTGTCCATTTTTAAAGGTAGGTCAATTTGTATTTTTACAGTGACATTTCTTTGTTTTCTATATTTTTCTACAATTTTCCTTGCCATTTAGTTAAGCCTTATAAGCCTTGCTAGTTTTTTTTTTTTTTTTCTTAAAAATTGTGCTGAACCCCGGTGATCTTTCATGTTCAGGTAGATCTCCACCTCTCAAAGGTTGCCTACCCCTGCATTAGTGTGATGGTCAGTGAGAGGAAAACTAACACTGTCATCAGGAAGGATCATCCCATTACAGATAGCTAAAAGGAGGAATGGTGTCACTGGGAACTTATCCGAGAGGCAGAAGTCGCACAAGGAACCCCTAGCAACCCTGCCATAGAATGTGAGGAAGTGCCAGCCTTGCCCCTGCAGGGCATATTGAGAAAAGTGGCTCTGAATACACTAGATTGCCCGCAGTATTGGGCCGCCGGCCTTTACACACATGAAATTTAATGGCATCCCAGTCTTAGTCCGTAGGGTTCAATATTGAGTTGGCCCCGCCCTTTGCAGCTATAACAGCTTCAACTCTTGTGGGAAGGCCGTCCACAAGGTTTAGGAGGGTGTCTATGGGAAGGTTGGACCATTCTTCCAGAAGCACATTTGTCAGGTCAGGCACTGATGTCGGGGGAGGAGGCCTGGCTCACAGTCTCCGCTCTAATTCATCCCAAAGGTGTTCTACTATTGAGGTCAGGACTCTGTGCAGGACAGTCAGGTTCCTCCACCCCAAACTGGCTCCTCCATGTCTTTATGGACCTTGCTTTGTGCACTGGTGGGCAGTCATGTTGGAACAGGAAGGGGCCATCCCCAAACTCTTCCCACAAAGTTGGGAGCATGAAATTGTCGCCTTAAGAGTTCCCTTCAATGGAACTAGGGGGCAATCCCAACCCCTGAAAAACAACCCCACACCATAATTCCCCCTCCACCAAACTTTATACTTGGTACAATAAAGTTAGGCAAGTACCGTTCTCCTGGCAACCGCCAAACCCAGACACGTCCATCGGACTGCCAGACAGAGAAGCGTGATTGGTCACTCCAGAGAACACGTCTCCCCTGCTCTAGAGTCCAGTGGCGGCGTGCTTTACACCACGGCATCCGACGCTTTGTATTTCACTTGGTGATGGAAAGCTTGGATGCAGCTGCTCGGCCATGGAAACACATTCCATGAAGCTCTCTATGCACTGTTGTCAATCTGAAGGCCACATGAAGTTTGGAGGTCTTTAGCTAATGACTGCAGACGGTGACTTCTGCGCACTGTGCGCTTCAGCATTCAGCATGCACTGACCCCGCCCTGTCATGTGACGTGGCCTACCACTTGGTGGCTGAGTTGCTGTTGTTCCCAGTTGCTTCCACTTTGTTATAATCCCACTAACAGTTGAGCGTGAAATATTTAGTAGCCAGGAAATGTCACGGATGGACTTATTGCACAGGTGACCACCTATCACGGGACCACGCTTGGAGTCACTGAGCTCCTGAGAGCGACCCATTCTTTCACCAATGTTTGTAGAAGCAGTCTGCATGCCTAGGGGCTTGATTGTATACACCTGTGTCCATGGAGGGGATTGGAACACCTGAATCACATGATTTGGAGGCCTGGCCCAATACTTTTGGCAATTTAGTGTATAGAATCTGGTGAAAGTCCAATGTTGGCCAGTAGTCATGGTAAGCTTTGCAACGACCAGGCCACAGCAAAAAGATAAGCTTTGAGGCTCCAGCGTTGGAAGGCTGGAGTAAAGAGGTGTAGGACTTTTGGGACTGCTGGCAAACTCCCTAAAATGTATGGGATCCTCAACATGGGGTGTTGGGGGGAGAAATAACCTTTTCTGATTGCATGCCTAGGCAAAAATGATGCAGCTCCCCCACCCAAAGCCTCCTGAGATATCTACATCAAATATGGAGGCTTCAGGGCTTGGTTGAGCCTACTGAACATGTACATTGGATGTGTTTGGCCGGATGCTAGGACCTGGAAGAGACCGCCATCCTCCTGCTTCTGGAAGACGGGGTTGCAGGATGTGGCAAGGACAATGCCAAAATCATCAGACAGGTGAATATGCGATGTCCACTGAACCCATCAGACCAGGTAACACTGGGCTAGTAATACTCGCTCCAAGCGATAGGGTCGTTTTTTACATCGGAGCGTTACATTGGCTCCGACACCCTGAGGCCGGTGGGAGGCACTCCACATTTTTCTGCAGTTGGTTTCACAATGCTAAGGTCATCAGGGGCCCATCCTGCCAGCTGCCATTCATCGGTTATGTGACCGTCAGCACCAACGGAATGTGCCCCAGAATCTCTTCTAAGCACCCACCTTGAATGGTGAAAAATTAGCAAGTCGACTGGTTCTGTAGTCTTCATTGGACTCCTTCCAACCTCCAGATGGGGGCACTCTCTGGGAATGAACAGGCACTGCTATTGGGGCGCATTGGTGTAAGGCTTGAGGGGGGTATGGGTCAGGTGATGCTGGTTGGGTCAAGCTGGAGGCCATCGGGGGCGCTCCTACACTGGAGGCCATCGGGGGGCGCTCCTACACTGGAGGCCGGGTGGAAGATCTGGCAACCATAGTGATCAGGACACTAGGGCAACGATCATGCACTCATAGTACCTCAGACCAGAGGTGGACTGACCATTTGGAAACTCGGGCACTGCCCGAGGTCAGTAGGGGGCCCCATGAGATGCCCCTGGTGCCTTTTTCATAGGCTTTTATGAGTTTGGGCAAGGACACAGGGGCCCCATGATCCCCTATCGCCCAGGGGCCCCATGAGTTGTCAGTCCGCCCCTGCCTCAGACATCCAGGAGGACCATGCAGTTGAATGAGGAAAAAAAAAAAACACTGGGCGCCCCACCACCACGTGGTTGTTAACGCACATGTAGGACACGCAGTCCACGACAACTCCAGAATTTAATACAATTGTCATTTCAAGAAATGTTTTTTTTTTTTTTTTTATTATATATATATATATATATATATATATATATATATATATATATATATATTTTTTTTTTTTTAAATACCAATTACTACTCTGCCTTTGCCCTGCCTGAGCTCAGCATGACCACACTGCCACTGAAACTGCCTCACTGGCCCTTTAACTGTATATGACTGACAGCTCCAGCAGCCAACAAGGAATCAGCTTGCGCCCTCCCGGGAGGAGGAGACATTAGTCTCGCTGCTTCCGCCCTCTATTCCCCCTGAAGGACACGGCTAGGCTTCAACCAATCACAATCAAACTGCGCCACACTTCGGGCAGCTAGACGGCCAATCAGCCACGAACAGAAAAAAGCGTCTCTCGTAGATTGGCCGGGATATCTACGGATAGAAACATCCGGGGGTAGATCCCTCCTAGGGACCAGCCAGCCAATGGAAAGGTGACTCCTCCTCTGGTTGGTCGATGTCGTCCTACACCAGTATGAAGGACAGGCGGACTGGCCAATAGAGAGAGGCTCTGGCACCGGTGTGGTGAGAGAAATGAAACAACGGGTGTAGCGCTACCCTGCAGGCTCAGTGACCCGAATACCTGGGGCCGCCCGACTCCTCCACACCTATCCTGTCACCCGGCTCACCTCGGGCTTTCCGCCGACTCTCCTGGTCACCGACCTGAGGCGGCCGCTCCATGGAGCTGAGGATAGAACCGAGGAGATCCGCCATCTTGGATGCCAGAAGCGGCGGCGCGCCCGCCTTATATAGGAACGCGCAAGCCTTAAAGCGGCAACAAATGCGGGGGGCGGGGAACAGGACTTAAAGGGTCAACAAAAAAAGGACCAGAGCTCTGTATATCATCCTAGAACTGTACCTATGGACCGTACCACACGGAGGGGACACGGGGGAACGTACCACATGGAGGGGATACGGGGGAACGTACCACAAACAGGGGACACGGGGGAATGTATCACACAGAGGGGACACGGGGGAACATACACACGGAGGGGACACGGGGGAACGTACCACATGGAGGGAACATGGGGGAACATACCACACACGAGTGACACGGGGGGGAACGTTTGACACGGAGGGGACCTGCCACACGGGTGACACGGGGGAACGTGCCACACGGGTGACACGGGGGGGAACGTAACCACACAGAGGGGACACGGGGGGAACATACCACACGGGTGTCATGGGGGGGACGTACCACACAGGTGAGGGAACGTACCACACAGAGTGGACACGTTCCGTTCCACACGGGTGACACGGGGGGAACATACCACACAGGTGGGGGAACGTACCACACAGGGGACACGGGGGGGAAGGTACCACACGGGGGGAACGTACCACACAGAGGGGACACCGGAGGAACGTACCACACGGGGGGAAATGTACCACATAGAGGGGACACGGGGGAACGTACCACACAGAGGGGACACGGGGGGAGTGTACCACACAGAGAGGACGGGGGGAATGTACCACACAGAGGAGACGGGGGGACCGTACCACACAGAGGGGACACGGGGGGAATGTACCACACAGAGGGGACGGGGGGAAACGTACCGCACAGAGGGGACATGGGGGAAACGTACCACACAGGGGGGACATGGAAGGGAACGTACCACACAGAGGGGACATGGGGGAGTGTACCACACAGGGGACACGGGGGAATGTACCACACAGAGGGGTCACGGGAGGGATCATACCACACAGAGGGGACACGGGACCGTACCACACAGGGGACATGGGGGGGACCATACCACACAGAGGGGACACGGGGGGGACTGTACCCACACAGGAGGACTGTACCACACAGAGAGGACATGGGGGACTGTACCACACTGGACACGGGAGGGGACTAAAGAGGTGGCACCAGACGGGACTGCAGTCATTGAGAGGCAGCACAGGACCAGAGAAGCGGTCCCAGACAGGATCTCGGCCATAGAAAGGCCATGAGAGGGACCCCGTCCTACAGAGACATCACCAGGTGGGCCAACAGGGAAACAACAAGAAATGGGACTTGTCATTAGTTAATAAACAATTGTATCCAAATTATAAATGACAAAACGTGTCAATGAGGAAGTCTGATTTATTATGGCTGATCCACCAACACATCCCCCATACCTACCCATCCCCCACACCTACCCATCCCCCACACCTACCCATCCCCCACACCTACCCATCTCCACACCTACCCATCTCCACATCTACCCATCCCCCACATCTACCCATCTCCACACCTACCCATCCCCCACATCTACCCATCCCCCACATCTACCCATCTCCACACCTACCCATCTCCACATCTACCCATTCCTCACATCTACTTATCCCCCACACCTACCCATCCCCCACATCTACCCATCTCCCACATCTACCCATCCCCCACATCTACCCATCCCCCACATCTACCCATCCCCCACATCTACCCATCTCCCACATCTACCCATCTCCACATCTACCCATCCCCCACACCTACCCATCTCCATATCTACCCATCCCCCACACCTACCCATCCCCCACATCTACCCATCCCCCACACCTATCCATCTCCATATCTACCCATCCCCCCACACCTACCCATCCCCCACATCTACCCATCCCCCACATCTACCCATCCCCCCACACCTGCTCATCCCCCCACATCTACCCATCTCCATATCTACTTATCCCCCACACCTACCCATCCCCCACATCTACCCATCTACCCATCCCCCACATCTACCCATCCCCCACATCTACCCATCCCCCACATCTACCCATCCCCCACACCTACCCATCTCCATATCTACCCATCCCCCACACCTACCCATCCCCCACATCTACCCATCCCCCACACCTATCCATCTCCATATCTACCCATCCCCCACACCTACCCATCCCCCACATCTACCCATCCCCCACATCTACCCATCCCCCACACCTGCTCATCCCCACATCTACCCATCTCCATATCTACTTATCCCCCACACCTACCCATCCCCCACATCTACCCATCTACCCATCCCCCACATCTACCCATCCCCCACATCTACCCATCCCCCACATCTACCCATCCCCCACATCTACCCATCTCCCACATCTACCCATCTCCCACATCTACCCATCCCCCACACCTATCCATCTCCATATCTACCCATCCCCCACACCTACCCATCCCCCACATCTACCCATCCCCCACATCTACCCCATCCCCCACACCTGCTCATCCCCCACATCTACCCATCTCCATATCTACTTATCCCCCACACCTACCCATCCCCCACATCTACCCATCTACCCATCCCCCACATCTACCCATCCCCCACATCTACCCATCCCCCACATCTACCCATCTCCCACATCTACCCATCTCCCACATCTACCCATCCCCCCACACCTACCCATCCCCCACATCTACCCATCCCCCACATCTACCCATCCCCCACACCTGCTCATCCCCACACATCTACCCATCTCCATATCTACTTATCCCCCACACCTACCCATCCCCCCACATCTACCCCATCTACCCATAACCCCATCCCCCACATCTACCCATCCCCCACATCTACCCATCCCCCCATCTACCCATCCCCCACATCTACCCATCTCCCACATCTACCCATCCCCCACACCTATCCATCTCCATATCTACCCATCCCACACCACACCTACCCATCCCCCACATCTACCCATCCCCCACATCTACCCATCCCCCACATCTACCCATCCCCCACATCTACCCATCCCCCACACCTGCTCATCCCCACATCTACCCATCTCCATATCTACTTATCCCCCACACCTACCCATCCCCCACAATCTACCCATCTACCCATCCCCCACATCTACCCATCCCCCACATCTACCCATCCCCCACATCTACCCATCCCCCACATCTACCCATCTCCCACATCTACCCATCTCCCACATCTACCCATCCCCCACACCTACCCATCTCCATATCTACCCATCCCCCACACCTACCCATCCCCCACATCTACCCATCTCCACATCTATCCATCTCCACATCTACCCATCCCCCACACCTATCCATCTCCATATCTACCCATCCCCCACACCTACCCATCCCCCACATCTACCCATCCCCCACATCTACCCATCTCCACATCTACCCATCCCCCACCCCCCATATTCACCCATCCTCCATATCCATCCATCCCCCACACCTACCCATCCCCCATATCTACCCATCCTCCACACCTACCCATCCCCCCATATCTACCCATCCTCCCATATCCATCCATCCCCCACACCTACCCATCCCCCATATCTACCTATCCCCCATATCCATGCATCCCCCACACCTACCCATCCCCATATCTACCCATCCCCCACATCTACCCATCCATCCTCCACATCTACCCATCCCCCACATCTACCCATCTACCCATCCCCCACATCTACCCATCCCCCACATCTACCCATCCCCCACATCTACCCATCTCCCACATCTACCCATCTCCCACATCTACCCATCCCCCACACCTATCCATCTCCATATCTACCCATCCCCCACACCTACCCATCCCCCACATCTACCCATCCCCCACATCTACCCATCCCCCACACCTGCTCATCCCCACATCTACCCATCTCCATATCTACTTATCCCCCACACCTACCCATCCCCCACATCTACCCTACCATCTACCCATCCCCCACATCTACCCATCCCCCACATCTACCCATCCCCCACATCTACCCATCCCCACATCTACCCATCCCCCACACCTACCCATCTCCATATCTACCCATCCCCCACACCTACCCATCCCCCACATCTACCCATCCCCCACACCTATCCATCTCCATATCTACCCATCCCCCACACCTACCCATCCCCCACATCTACCCATCCCCCACATCTACCCATCCCCCACACCTGCTCATCCCCACATCTACCCATCTCCATATCTACTTATCCCCCACACCTACCCATCCCCCACATCTACCCATCTACCCATCCCCCACATCTACCCATCCCCCACATCTACCCATCCCCCCACATCTACCCATCCCCCACATCTACCCATCTCCCACATCTACCCATCTCCCACATCTACCCATCCCCCACACCTATCCATCTCCATATCTACCCATCCCCCACACCTACCCATCCCCCACATCTACCCATCCCCCACACCTGCTCATCCCCACATCTACCCATCTCCATATCTACTTATCCCCCCACCTACCCATCCCCCACATCTACCCATCTACCCATCCCCCACATCTACCCATCCCCCACATCTACCCATCCCCCACATCTACCCATCTCCCACATCTACCCATCTCCCACATCTACCCATCCCCCACACCTATCCATCCCCCACATCTACCCATCCCCCACATCTACCCATCCCCCACACCTGCTCATCCCCACATCTACCCATCTCCATATCTACTTATCCCCCACACCTACCCATCCCCCCACATCTACCCATCTACCCATCCCCCACATCTACCCATCCCCCACATCTACCCATCCCCCACATCTACCCATCCCCACATCTACCCATCCCCCACATCTACCCATCTCCCACATCTACCCATCTCCCACATCTACCCATCCCCCACACCTATCCATCTCCATATCTACCCATCCCCCACACCTACCCATCCCCCCACATCTACCCATCCCCCACATCTACCCATCCCCCACACCTGCTCATCCCCACATCTACCCATCTCCATATCTACTTATCCCCCACACCTAC